AGCCCAAGGCCCCGGCATCCGTCACCTGGCAGGTGGAGCACAGTTCGTTACAGTAAAAAGTTGTGGTGTCGGTCATCTCTCGCACATCTTTCGGCGGTGCCCATCGCATTGTTCAGGCCTCCGGCTAAGTGCAGCTTAGCAGCTTCAAGCCTCAGAATTTGATTGCTTAGGGCTTTCCGCCCGATTGCAAGACTCACTTAGCAAGTGCTTGTCCTCCGCAACCTTTTTTTCAGCAACCCTAAATCGAAATCCGACTGCTATGCGCGCAAACCCCTAACGGTCTTTCGGGCGGTTCTATCACGAGTCCTTTAAGCAAGGATCTGACGGTGTATCCTTCCTGCACCCTCCCAAAGACGAGAGGGGCTGTATACAGGGGGAAAACCGTGCCCCTACGCGCCCGTGGACTAAAAGCTCCCTGACTGGACGACGGGAATGGCATAATGACAGCAACCGGCCGAAAGAAAGGCCTACGAGGTGCTTAGGCGAGCAGCCCTAAAACGGCCCAAAACTACCGCAAGCTTGCGTTTCGGCCGCGTAGCGGCAGAAGAAGCCGCTGCCAGAAAGAGCTCAACAGTGCTCACTCATGCTCACGTAAGGATTCTATCAGGAGCCTATTAGGTTCTATTAATGGTTCTATCGGGCTTGGAACCTAAAACGCACAAACCGGCACCGTTTCTGCTACATAAACCTACACTCAGAATGAGCGGACACCACCCGAATCCTCAAATCTTGAAAGCCACACAGCGCTGAATTTGTCACCAAACCGTGGAAGCCCAAGATCCGAAACCTGACTCTGATCCCTAAACCCTAAACCCTGAACTCTAATCCCTAATCCCTAAACCCTTAACGCTAATCCTTAAACCCTTTACTCCAATCCCTAAACCCTTTACTCTAATCCCTAAACCCCAATCCCTGGACCTTAAACACGGGGCCTTCTCGATTGCTTTGGCCTCTCGCTCAACGGCCTTCCAGGGTTCAGGGGGCTGCAGGCGGACCGAGCACGAATTCAAGGCGTTGCGATGCAATTTAAGGGCCTTAACAGTTAGAATAAGGCTCCTTTAAAGGGTTCTAAAAGGGATCTACAATCGTGTTCAATAGCTAGGGTTTTGTGGGGCCCATTGTACTAGATTTAATATAATAAGGAACCCTTCAAGATAGTATTGCTAACTATTTCGGCCCCTATATTGCCCGCTTGGATTGCCTGGCCCTTGAGGCTTTAGTCTAAAGAACGCTTACGCCCGGTTCCCTGAGGAAGGCTGGGCTTCGTCTGGAAACCCGATCCTGTTCCTTGTGCGACTTTGGATGCCTTTCACTCGTGATGAATATCAGATATTCTGGAACAGGTCCTAAACCTGCGTCAAAATACTAAAGTGAGCTGTTATAGCCTACTGTCAAGAGCCGGTGGTTTAGAACAACCCTCATCGAGAAGCACAGGGATTTTCCGGATTCCAAGCAATTAAGGGGTCGAAGTCCGATTGATGGAGAAGGCATGTGTCAAAGGTGAACATGTGCGAGGTTTAGGGCTTTTGGGTTCTGGCGGGTTTCATACGGCTGTTTCCTTCAGTACCCTTTCGGACAGAGCGGTTCGCGAGGAATACGCAGCAGTCGCGCCCTCCTGAGCTCTGAGTCTAAGCCTGTCAAGTCCCCTGAGCTGTGATCCATACACATTGAAGTCCTCATAGTGACAATGTTCGAAACACGCCACCTTCCGTCGATCGTAGAGCCGCGATAAAGCTTCTCCTTGAAGTAGACTCATGTCGACGTTGATATCATGAAAAAACGTGAAGGAAGCCCTACTACTTCGGAGCAGCCACACTGCATAGGTTAAGGAGCTGAGCCAAGTGTCAAGAGGATCCAAATAATTCTATTCTGGCATTCCGCTTCGGATTCATCATCCTTGCTGCCTTGAGGTTTCGGGTCGAATACACAACTTAAAACTTGACACAGCAGCACCCTAAACTAAACTCCTAAACTGAAACCTAACACTCCCAAACCTCTGACTGCAGCACCTTGCAGCCCAATCGAACAACCTGCGGAGCCCTGAGCCCGAATCCCTATAAAACCCCAAAAGCACGGGAGAACTGAGCCCTAACCCTCAAAGGCAATAACAGGGGGCCTCAACAATTGGAAAGGGTCCCTTGTGATGTATAGTGTGGGTTTTTTGGAAAATGCGACCCCCAAAACCCTACCCTAAACCCTCCGGAGCCCTAATGGTACCCCTCAGAACCCCTGACCAAGTGCCTGCTTGTAGCAGCCAACCACGTCATCCTCGCCGCCCACGCGCCTTGCGACAGGGCTGTCGCAACTTGATGCTTTTGCATGGGTGGTTGCCAAAATTATGGTCCCTTCTGGGGTCCCTATGTTATAGTACGGCACCTAATATTTAGGGTACCCAAAAAGGGACCATAATGTTGACAACTACCCGCATGACTGTAGTATCTATGAGCTCAGGGCTTTGAACGTTTGGGGCTTTCCAAGCCCATTCTGCAGGGTCTAACCTCAGGAGGTGCGGAGTTTCCACGGTCTGAGGCCTGGCAGCACCAATCGCCCGGAACCGCAGATCTGTGTTCTGGTTTAGGGTGTTGGATTTGGGGTTTACGGTTTCTGAGGTGTAGTTTTGGGGCTCTGAAATAGGTACCTCTATAGGAACCATAAAAGGAAATTCGAAAAATGTTTCCCAAATTGCCACCTAGGCTTAGGAGTTACACAGGGTTTTGGATTTGAGGCTTGGGCCTCGGGGTTTGGGATTTGGGTTCAGGGATTGATCTGGGTTGGACTGTTTCCATGTGCAGGGTTTTGCGGGAATATCTCACAATGATTACATCAAGTCATCATTATACCTGCACACCACTACAGTACATCATGGTATACCTATTGAAACAGACGGACTATGAAGGTATATGGGATTTTCCGAACATCGGGGTTAGCTGAATTGGGGTCCTTATAATAAGGATCCTACTATTTAGGGTACTTTTTTAGGGTCCCCTATTTTCCGAAACTCCCATATTCGCGCTGTTCATTCAGACCCTTGCTCCCGACCAACTAGTTAGAACAGTTTTTTGAGCTATTCAATCCTGGCATAAAATGCCCTCAACCCTAAACCAAAAGCCAGTAACCTAAACCCCTTAACTCTAAACCTCTAAACCCCAAATCCGAAACCCTAAACCCCAGACCCCTAGACCCTAAATCCCTAAACCCTAAACCCCTAAACCCCAAACCCCTAGACCCTAAACGCCTAAACCCCTAAACCCCAAACCCCTAAACCCTAAACCCCAAACCCCTAGACCCCTAAACCCGAAGCCCTAAACCCCTAAATTCCCCTAAACCCCAAACCCAAAGGAACCCTCAAAGCCAGGCCTGAGCTCCTTCTCCGCGGCCTCGAACTGCGTGCGATCCTGCTCTTGCGGGCTCTGGCTTCAAGGTTCACTATAGGGTTTAGGGGTTTAAGGGTTTTTTTTTTGGACCTAAGGGCTATGGTACAGGGTTTAGGGGTTCATGGTATAGGGTTTAGGGGTTTAAGGGTTTTTTTCTTGGACCTAAGGGCTATGGTACAGGGTTTAGGGGTTCATGGTATAGGGTTTAGGGGTTTAAGGGTTTTTTTTTGGACCTAAGGGCTATGGTACAGGTTTAGGGGTTCATGGTATAGGGTTTAGGGGTTTAAGGGTTTTTTTCTTGGACCTAAGGGCTATGGTACAGGGTTTAGGGGTTCATGGTATAGGGTTTAGGGGTTTAAGGGTTTTTTTCTTGGACCTAAGGGCTATGGTACAGGGTTTAGGGGTTCATGGTATAGGGTTTAGGGGTTTAAGGGTTTTTTTTTGGACCTAAGGGCTATGGTACAGTGTTTAGGGGTTCATGGTATAGGGTTTAGGGGTTTAAGGGTTTTTTTTTTGGACCTAAGGGCTATGGTACAGTGTTTAGGGGTTCATGGTATAGGGTTTAGGGGTTTAAGGGTTTTTTTTTTGGACCTAAGGGCTATGGTACAGTGTTTAGGGGTTCATGGTATAGGGTTTAGGGGTTTAAGGGTTTTTTTTTGGACCTAAGGGCTATGGTACAGTGTTTAGGGGTTCATGGTATAGGGTTTAGGGGTTTAAGGGTTTTTTTCTTGGACCTAAGGGCTATGGTACAGGGTTTAGGGGTTCATGGTATAGGGTTTAGGGGTTTAAGGGTTTTTTTCTTGGACCTAAGGGCTATGGTACAGGGTTTAGGGGTTCATGGTATAGGGTTTAGGGGTTTAAGGGTTTTTTTCTTGGACCTAAGGGCTATGGTACAGGGTTTAGGGGTTCATGGTATAGGGTTTAGGGGTTTAAGGGTTTTTTTTTGGACCTAAGGGCTATGGTACAGTGTTTAGGGGTTCATGGTATAGGGTTTAGGGGTTTAAGGGTTTTTTTTTTGGACCTAAGGGCTATGGTACAGTGTTTAGGGGTTCATGGTATAGGGTTTAGGGGTTTAAGGGTTTTTTTTTTGGACCTAAGGGCTATGGTACAGTGTTTAGGGGTTCATGGTATAGGGTTTAGGGGTTTAAGGGCTTTTTTTTTGGACCTAAGGGCTATGGTACAGTGTTTAGGGGTTCATGGTATAGGGTTTAGGGGTTTAAGGTTTTTTTTTGGACCTAAGGGCTATGGTACAGTGTTTAGGGGTTCATGGTATAGGGTTTAGGGGTTTAAGGGTTTTTTTCTTGGACCTAAGGGCTATGGTACAGGGTTTAGGGGTTCATGGTATAGGGTTTAGGGGTTTAAGGGTTTTTTTCTTGGACCTAAGGGCTATGGTACAGGGTTTAGGGGTTCTTTTTTTTTTTTTTTAAGCTCCTTTTTCCCAGTCGCCAATCCAGCTTCCAAGAAGGCCCGGGGGCCAGGAGTGCCCGACAACCTTACAGCCAGGCGAAAGAAAACGAACCCTCAGCCCTCAGTACAGCTCCCGCAGAAGGTTGACCATGTCCCGCCGCAGAAACATCACCGCCACGTCTCGACTGTATCAATCATCCCGATCAAGAACCCCCGGGCCAGCATCGCCAGAGGAACGTCCCCGCTGACCATCAGCATAAGCAGTCGCTCCGTCCATATACACCTGCCATCGCCGGTACAGCTCTGAAACTGCCTTGCCACCGAGCTCACGTTCAACCATTGCCGTGGTAAGGAGGCCACCTTTCCAACGAGAGAAGAGAACCTCCCACTCCTCCTCCGTCTGGGGACGCACAAGCAAGCTCAGACCTGGCAGGCATAGTAGAAGCGACCAGCAGCGTGTCAACCGCCTCCTGACTGTCGTCCCCCTCAGACCCGAGGCAGCCAGCGCCCACAGGAGGCAAAGCCGAGCCCGGACCCCCTGGCAGAGCGGCGAGGCGAGCTTCAGCTGCACAGGTGTCGTCAGCCATGAAGGCCCACTGCGACTCCAAGAGGCTCAGCACACCACGTCCATGCAACGCCAACACCTGGGAGGTCGACATTCGCCCATTCGCCCAGGCCTGAAAAACTTCCTGGTACTCCGCAAAGTTGATCGCAATGTTGTCATCAGCGACCTCCCCGGAGTCCCCCGGCAGAGTGGCAGGAAGCAGCTGGGTCGGCGGCACGGGGGCGGCAGGCAGTGAAGGCTCCAAGACCGGAGTAGGGATGAGATCCTGATCCGGCTCATCGTCCCTCCACAGCCGCAAGGTCATGGTCGCAATGCCGTCCTCCGAGATTGGGAGGCGAATGCATCGTGCCGTCCGCGGCTCATCCTGACTGCCAGTTGACATTTCCACCACCAAAATGCGACGCTTGCGGCCCACTCCAGCTGAAGGTGTGGCAAGAGCATTCTCCTCCTGTAGCCCCTCGAGGTACTGAAGCTGCTGCGACTCTTCCGCCTCAATGGCATCTTGTTCGCGTCGGAGACGTTGTTCTTCAACCAGACGATCATGCCGTGCCTCCTGTTCATCCGCCGCGAGAAGATCCACATATTGCCGCGATTCCTCGAGGCTGTCCTCCAGGTCCGGCGGGGGAGCTTCCCCCAGGGGGCGTAGTTGGCCGGCCGACCACCCGGAGCCTGGCTCAGCATGCACTGCAAGAACCCCCGTGCTCTCCGTAGTTTGCGTGTCGAGGTCGATCGCGGGCAAGGTAGCTGGGAGAGGCTCGGTCACGTTCGGGATGTTGTCAGAGTCGGAGTCCGGGAGCGGTTTCGGGAAGAGCATGACAGGGATCTCGAAGACGACTTCTCCCATGAGCCAAGCGACTAGAGGCGCTGATCGGCAGAAAGGCTTCGAAGGCCCGAAACCAATTGTCAGCCCATTGGACCTCCTGCTCCGAGACGGCTGCTAGGTTCTGATCCCTGAAGGCGACAAGAACTGCAAGCAGCTGAGCACCCTCGTCACGAAGATGCCCCAACAGGAAGCCCTCTTGAGCGCGGGTGCACCTGTAGTCCAGCCAACTCAGAAGGTGTTCAACCTGGACCGCTCTCAATCCCTTCGGCAAGTCCTCGAGGCCCCTCTGGAACTTCTGCAACAAGTTCTCCCACACCGCTGCCGGCATAGTCCCAGTCCGGGGTTGAAGTGCATCCGCAATGCTGGTCTGCATATAGATGGACTCGTCGTCCTCAGTGTCCCGAGGCTCTGAAGGAGGCGTTCTCGGTGGCGGAAGTGGAGGCGCAGGGGAGCTCGCCGCCTGGGTTGTAGCAACTTCCAAAGCAGCTCCAATGGCAGACAGCAAGCCACCCAAGAGCCGATTGACCGCCATGGTGAAGGTCAAGCGGTCCGCCAAGTTATGCTCCAAAAAGGTTTCAACAATGGCGGTCGTAACCCTCTCCGGCAGAACGTCTGTGCCGATGGGCTCGTCTATGTCCCGGACCCCCAAAAGAAGCAACCATGTGTCCAGGGCCTCCTCAACCGTGAGAGGGCCATCAGGTCCAGTACCACCTGCCCCCGCGGCCTCCGAGGACGACGCTGGCATGTCCCTCGAAGCTCCTTGTTCCCGGCTGGCCTGAGGCGGGGATCGGTGGGTAGGTTTCTCCGACCGAGGCAGTGGGGCTCGAGCAGCAGGACGTGCCTTGGGCGTCGGCCTGGTAGTGGCCGGCATCGGTGTACCTCGGCACTTGTGCTTCGCCATGGCTGACAGATTCACCCTTTCAGTGGTCGTAGGTGCCGAGGGGCGATTCAAAGAGCGGGGTGTAGTAGAGGCGTGGGGAGTCCGCGGGCGAGAAGGTGCTCGTCGGCGGCGAGTAGGTGCATTCTTGAGCCATCTCTTGTTGACCCCCTTGCGATCCATGAGGGAGCTCACATCATCAGCGGCCTCCTCAGCACAGGAACGGTTGGACGAAGAAGCATTGCCAACCGAAATGTCGTCCACATCAACATCTCGAGCCTTCAAGCCGTGGTAGTTGTAGAGGTACCAGAGCTCCGACTCCCTGTCAGCAACCCATTCAGAAGCCTGTGGCGGCCTGGAAGAGTCCGGTGAGCCCAAGAAGGTGCCCAGCTGGCTGAGAACTTCTCTGTAATAGGGGAGTGCGAGGGAGCGATAGCTACCATTGTCCCTGGCTCTGATGAAGGCCACCATTTCTTCGAAGACCCCATGCAGGTTGTAGCCCGCGTGGTAGAGATCGTGGAAGTCGCCCACGCACCGGCCCACCCACTCAAGCCGCATGAGGGAGTGAGATCGGAAAGCCGGTCCAGTAGAGGCACGGAGGTGTCGAATGAAAGGAGGATCGCGTCGGAGTTGGTTGAACTCTTCCCGGCGTTGGGCTCGGAGCATGGTCTCCTGCGGTGGCGCGGGAAGGGAGGCCAGGTTCGGGTTCACATTGCGGAGACCTTCGTAAAGTCCCTGCTGGAAGGGGTACTCATGCTCCAGGAACTCCTCAAGGATATGGGCCTCCACAAAGGTCACCCAGACACGGAGGTCCAGGTGGATCTCCTCAGGCGCCAGGTTGGAGACGGGCAGCTCCAAGGTGTTCCCAATAGCCACAGCCGCTCTGGATGCGAAGTTCGTGTAGGTGGCAAAGTTGCGGTGGGAGGCAGTCCGGGCTAGCATCGCGAGGGCATCCGACATACGAAGCCCTCGTGCTGCCAGGTCTCGTCCTCGGAGAGTTGCCTCTGTGAACCAGATCGGCGGCCAGTTGCCGTAGTCATCCGGGATTGGCGCGAGCACACCTGGGAGCTGGGCGAAGAAGGGCAGAATCGTACCGAGGGCGGGCAAGAGAAAGTACATGTAGAAGGCTCCAAAGCCGGGGTGGCGATCGCACATTGGAATCACACGCTCGGCTGAAAATCACAAATACGGAGAGGCGGGTCTGATCCACACAGTCACTCGAGCCTGCTGTTCAGCAAATCAGACAGGGCAGTCTTCACCACGGTGAGCAACAGCGCACGAATTGGTAGGTCCGAGGTTCACCCCAACCCTTGTACTAGTTCATAGCCTCCGCAGGCAGGCTCATCTGAACCCCACTCGCCCAAGGCAAGTCCCTCTGTTGAATCCAGGTCGAAAGTTTAGCTTGCCAAGCTGCACGATCCAAAGCATAAACCCTCCACGGTCCCCCACACACTGTATCCATGGCCTTGTCCAAAGAGTGCAGCCGCGCGAAGAAACGTTCCGGGTGGGACAGCCCTGCATCTTTGGCCTTCTGCCACCATTGCCTGTCACGGAACATTTCCAGGATTGTGGAGATCGGGGGAAACTGTTGTTGCGAGGCCCTGACCCTGTGACCAGCAAATGTCCACCACCGAGTAAGCCAGCAGGTGCTCCACCGGGGACACCCTGCCACATGGAGGGAGTACCGGGCACTTCGCACCGCTCGTTTACGGAAGGCGGGCCAGTCCTCATCGGCTCGTTTTCCAAGCCGCAAAAGCCACGTCAGCAGAAGAGCCTGGAACGAGTTGACGAGGGCGAGCGCCGGACGATCAGGGGGAAGAGCGGCGATGCACCAGAGAGCAGTGTTGGAGATAACACGATGCATTAGCTGAACCCTCCCTTTGGCCTGAGTCTTTGAGCGGAACAAGTGCTTCAAGCCCCAAAATTTGGACCTGGCCCGGGACAGGAGTGGCTGTATAAGTTCACTCATGCTCATCCCTACCCTCATCTTCAGGCCCATCACCGGGAGGTGGTCAGAGGCCTCCAAGGTGACGCGATGTAGTCGGAGCTTATGTGGTCCTGGGCAGTAGGGGGAACAGTAGAGGACACACTTGGCGATGTTCAGAGTCAGACCAAATCCTTGTAGAACCTCTGCTAGCTGCCCGAGGCGAACTCCGAGTGTACGACAGTCAGGCCCCCAGAGGTAGCCATCATCCATATACAGGAGGTCCTCCTCCAACATGTCATGGAAAAGGTGCGAACCCTGATCCCACGAGGACTTAACCCTGGCCTGCTCCAACGCAACCTCCATGAGGAACGAGAAAAGGATCGGAGATTCGATCGATCCCTGTTTGATTCCAGACTTCATGGCCAACAGACTCGAGCCCCAGCAAGTCTGGAGGACGGCCTCCACGTCGACCAGCAGGGCGTGGAAGCACCGGTATTCGGCTGTGTCGCCGAGTCTGGCGCGTAAAGCAGCAAGGAGAGCAGCCCGATTAACTGAGTCAAAGGCTTTTCGCACATCTACCTTGACCACCCCTAACCCTGCCTTCCATTCTCGTTCTAACTCGCAGAGCTTCCACAGCGAACAAACCACGTCACATGTCTGTCGTCCTGACGAGGCGCACTGAGAGTGAGTCCGTGGAGCTAGTTTAGGAGCGATGCGGTTGACGAGGAGGCGTGAGAAGAGTTTGGCTGCTGAGGAGCCAACTGCTATGGGCCTGAGGTCCGACGGAGCAGTAGGGGAGTCAGTCTTGGCGAGCATGATGACAAGGGGCCGATTCCAATCTCGGGGCACAGTCTGTGTACACAATGTACGATTCATAAACTCCAGTAGGTGCTCAGGGCCCCCAGTCGTCTGCAGGATGCCGTCCAGCAGTTCCCTGGATGTGAGATCAACCCCAACCGACTTCCCCTTCCGTATCTGCGAGACCGCCTTGGTGAGCTCTTCGATGCTGAACGCCTGGACCGGCCCCACGAAAGGGGGCAGTGGAGGAAGGTCATCCCCGGAGTAAACCTCAGTAAGGTGTTGGTGCACAGACTGATGAGGATCACAGGCTTGGGCATCAGCGTAGACGAGGTCCCAACCCGTCGCTTGAACCCGGGTCTCATCTCGGAAAGCCTGCCAGTCCCCCTCCGTAGCCCTTCGAATCCTCGCGCTCTCCCAGGACCGACGAGCCTCTCTACGAAGGCGAAGAGCGGTTTTCCAAGCAGCAGGGGAACGAGACGTCTTAGCCCGTCGAAAGGCCTCCTTCACCGCACGGGGGTCCCGGAAGCACTTACTGGGGCGTGGTCGTGTGCACTGAGCAGCTAGCTGTCGGAGAGCATCCTCGTGCAGTGCACCCTGAGCCAGAAGCGGAGCTCCAGCAGTTCGTGGTCAGTGCCCTGCAGCATGTAAGAGTCCTCGTGGATGTAGAGAGGAACCCCTTTTGTAGCCCCAAAGTCGATCTGATGACCCTCACAGCCCTCGCGTCGGGGCCTGCTGGTAGGAGTCGGGAACTGCCGTGACGGCGGAGGGCAAAGCCGAATTCCCGCTGCCGAAAACTGGTCCAGCATCATGATGGATTTGCCCTCAAGGCCAAGAGCTTCAACAGCCCCAGACCCAGCAACCCAGCCTAAGTGAGCATTGGAATCCCCTTGCAACAGGACAGGCCTGCCGTCCGAAGGTCGCCCCTTGAGGAACTCCAGGACTTCCTGCTCGTGCTTCTGAACCGTAAGCCCAGGAGTGAAGTGAAAGGTTGCAACCCAGAATTGAACCGAACTTCGCAAAGACTTCAGCAGGAACCAGGTACCCTTCCCTTTGGCGACCCTGCGAATAACTGACCACGCCAGGGGCGAATAGAGAAGCCCTGTCCCTCGCCACTGTGAAGAACCCTGATGACCCACAAGCCTGTACCCTTCCTTGGTGGTGGTGGTCGCCCAACCTGTGCGTGAGCGAGGAAGTTCCTGTAGAAGAAAAAGATCACTGTCGAAAACCGCCTCACGTGTAGCCGTTTTGACCAAGTCGCAAAGCGTGTCGGCCGAACATCCTCCAAGGTTCCATCCGAAAACTCGAAAACCCCGGTCCACCGGCCGAGTGCCGGCACACTGAGCCTCAGCGGATAGACCCTTGGATCCAAAACAACTTGTCGAAGGCAGAGCACCTAAGGTGCGCTGTGTCTGCATGTCAAGGAAAAGAGAGGAGGCACTGCTTTGCCCCTCTGAATTCGGCTTGCCGGCCCTGGCCTCGTGTTGACTCCGGAGCAGCAAATCATGCAAAGCGGAGAGGCTCGGATCCATTCAGCGTTGGGTCTGCTGTAGCGCATCCCGCAGCTGCTGAGTGCCAAGCTTGGTCTCCGTCTTCAAGGCCTTGAGATCGAACCACGGCTTGCTACCTGCACGCCTGTCCTTTGGGAAATTTGTACTTAAGTACATTTTTTTTCTAAGGACAGGCCAGCGTCACGCTGTTTTTTGTGCTTTCGGAGGCTTGCGTGTTGGGGGACCTGAGCCGGGAGTGATGGAAGGCAGCCACTTGAGCCAAAAAACAAAAAAAATAAAAAACAAAACAGTTCTGGCGGATTTCAAGCAAAAACGGAGAGATACATGTGTGCATTATATAGTATGTGTATGTATTTTGTAAGCAAACATGTGTTGTGTAGCGTTTAGAAGAACCCCAAAACCCTGAAAAAGACCTTTCCCTTCCTTCTCTCCTCACTTTCGCACAGAATGCAGCAAACATGTCGCGTGAAATGCCCAAGCTTCGTAAGCATCGGATGACATCAGTCACGATTGCGTTGTCAAGCACGTAGATACGTCCTAATAAGTAATTCCGTATAGATTGTGGCAACCGCAGTCAGGACAAACAAAGGCTGCATCAGGGGAAAGTAGCTGCGATATTTGTTCGGCCATCGCAGTAATGTGACACGTACGTAGACAAACAGTACGTTCTTTACTCCGGAAGCCACAGCAAAGTTGGACCCCAGATAAATAATTTAGCCACCGTGCGAGCCCTGAAAACTACACACCCCGCGCGGAGCCACCGCGAACCCTTAGAAACCTACACACCCCGCGGGGCCTAACCCATCAGACCGCGGCTACACCATAAACCCTGGCTATCATCAAGCCAATAAACGCCAGCAAAGCACCCAACCCACAAACACGGGCCGAAGTAAACCCCAAACCCTATTATTCCGCTGTACTATAAGCCTACACGCAAACAATTAAACGTATCAACGAAACCCGAGGAAGCCTGACAAACTGAAAAGCCTCACCCTCCAACCCCAAACCCCAAACATCAAATGCCAAGCCCCGCAGACCCTAAATCCGAAACATCTTGTACCCACATGTACCCCGAGCAAAAGCAGGCCCTAAGCCCCAAGCCCAATTTCTCAATAGCTTAAACCCCCGACCCTACAGTATGTGAGGCCAAATATATGATATCTGAAGACTCCAGCGAGAATATGCAGGCCTAGATTCCGAAGACTCAAACCAACCCCTAAACCCCAAACCCCAAACGCGAAGGCCTAAACCCGAAACCCTAAAAACTTAAACCGCCAACTCCAAATATTATATATGTACATATATATATATATGTACATATATAATATTTGGAGTTGGCGGTTTAAGTTTTTAGGTTGTCACGAAATCTGAAATTGCCCAGCCCACCCCAGCGCAGACACGACTGCTCGCAAGCCACTATATTTACCGGCATCCATGCACGCTCATGCATGAGTGGCAAGCCAATGCGCCAACAGATGTTGCCCGAAATGTTATTTGGGCGGCATCGCGTAGATCAAGCTATGCAAAATTGTTGCACATGCACTCACGCAGCTATATATAGGGCGCCCCTGCGAAATGATATTTGGGCCTATAGCTGTGGCAAATCTCACTCAGATGTTGCCCGAAATGATAGTTGGGCCTGAGCAATATATCAAGCTATGTGAAATCGCAAAAGTTGCCCAACGAATCGAACTGAACCGCTTCTTGTTTTACCGCCCCGCCAGCCAGCAGTTATACTGCAAGAGCCACCTTTGCAGCACTCGGAGCGACAGCGTAGCGGCGTGCACGGCCCCACGGGCACATTTCATGACTTTGCCGACAAAGTCCTCCTCGAGATTGCACCCGGCGTACCGGGGATTCAATCGGCTGTATGTCAATCTGCAAACGCATTCGCAATGATATTGATGAAACTTTGGCCTGATCTTATACCTGAGTGCGGTTCTGCTCATATTCTTGATCGTTAGCACACTCCATGCTTGCATGTAATCACATATTTAGACGGGAGGCCGTGGCTCCAGCATCTCGAGATATCGCGATGCCAGGGCCAGGTAGGAGTGGCAATACCATCTGCCGAGCCTTGGATCATCACAGACTTCTACAAAATTCGTTTTTGCACAACAGGGCTCCACACACACGCAACACCGGTGCAGCAACGGTTCTGCTGCGCCAGCATTGCCTGCTCATCCGACAGCCAGATTGAGCAGGCGTCCAGCAAATTCGAGAATGCTGTGATCGACCAGGCATTCACTGCCGCCAATCGAAGCTCGGGAATCGTTTGGGAAACCTCCTTAGGCCCAAATCCTATACAAACCACAGCTGAATACAAGCGTGGACCGCAGATCGTCAAGCAGAGAATATCGCAAGGCAAGAGGCAGACAGCCGTTCGGCTAAGTACGCCATCCTTATATAGGCACATGCAATGTTTGTGCTTTGCTCCCTTTGCGCTCTCCCTATACTCTCCCTCTCTGCTGAATTATTGGTGTGCCAAGCAACAAGACACGGTTTGCATATCCTTTTCCCGGCCCCTTCGGGTACTCCAATGTGACCGCATCGATTCCCAGCTTCACCAAACCTCAGATATATTTTGCGGATGCAGCACGAATTGTCAGTACGGAGTGGTTCCAGCAGCCGAAAATACGAGCAGCTGGGTGACTCAGTCCATCAAGAATGCTGGGTCGGATATGGTGCTCCGTGCACCACATCTGAAAGTCCACATGCAGGTGATGCAACCTTTCATCCCACGTTTCGTAAGCCTGAAACTGCGGAGAAAACTTCGCCAGCTCCATAACATGAGACGCAGTGGCATCCCTCTCAGTTCCCAGATACAGGCAATGGAGCAAATCTGGATACTCACAGGAGTGGTGGTAGCCAGGAATTCTCCACATCCTCGAATACGACACTTTGCGGCGCAACATGCACGGCGGACACGCACTTGGTAATTGTCTAGAGCCTGAACGCAAAGTTAAAAGTTTCCAAACATAAGTCAAGCCTGGTGACGCGATGTTTGCACCAACGCCTAAGACAAACGAAGCAGCGCGTGCAATAAGTGACACCCGCGACACAACTCAAGCCAGCTCCACACCACACTTGCATTAGAGCACCATGCCGCCTAGCTACTATCATTCGAAGCTTCATCCAAGTCTGCCTGGTTATCGAAGCCCTCACGCATGTCAGCCCAATGCTTTCCAGGTGTGCTGCCATCGCACAAGCATCTCGGGCAGATTCTGCCGGCGTTCTGCTCACGAGGAGCATTGCTAGCAAGGTTCCCGTAGCTTCTACATTGTTCCAACCATTCCCTTTTGTGCTTCCAATCTCCCTTCGATATGACAGGGTGCATGGTCCATCCGTGTTGGCCTTCGCTGGCGGGGTCGCCACAAATCCGAAAGGAATCGGCGTAGTAGCGCTGTAGCGCCTGAAGCGTGATATTCTGGCCGTTGTCGTAGACAAATCTGTCTGATCGCACAACCTCAGCCATGATTCACACACACTGTGTGCATGTGCACATCCGCTGCACGCATACATAAGCGACGTCTGGAATTCACATAGATGCATTAGAGGAATCTAAAACACCGGCCAGGGCACACAGAACGGGAACTTCTGCAGCATCGAGTCGCCCCGGTGGATGGCCAAGGGCGAAAGCGACAGGATCAAGATGCTTTTGCTCCTCTTCCCAGTACCCTCATCGCCGTGAATCGACACGGCCACCGCTTTTTGCCTGGCCTCCTCCGGCCAGGACTGCACCGGATGATTCCTTGTATATGTTGCCGGATCGACATATGAAACATTCCACGTACTGCACTCTAGAAAACAAACAAGACACAGTCCACACACACCTGCATGCTGCGAGAAAAACGCATCCCCCATGGCTCGCTCTTGGCCTTCTGCCACCAGTCCAGCCAGTCGACAGTGCCCGCCCTTATTGATTGCGCAGTGTGGATGGAGAATTCAAAACATCACGACATCACCAACATGCGAGAGCATCTATTCCAATCTATGCATATGCACGCATGCAATGCCAGCAAGCATCAGCTCTGCGATCAAGCCAGAGCAAACCATGCTCTTAAAGAGAATATGAGGCAACAGCACCGGCAGCGTTTGCATGCACTTATTCTCAGTCGACTGGGCCCTCTTGCTCTTCTTCTTGGGGTTTCGCCTCCTCGGCAAACCAGCCCTCCTCAAGCGACAATTGATTTGTCGTCGCACTTCTTGTTCTCGTCGCGCTTCAGCACGCATATCTTTCATCATGAGGGACACCGAACTCAAAGGGCATACTAGTGGAGCCTCGGATATCCTTGCATACATTCCGACATGTTCTTTAGACGGCATACATATATTATTTATATTTAGACATCTAATATAATTCAGACCGGCGACATCGCTCTTCGAGGAAGATACAGCCTTGCTCAGTTGCTCCTCGATGTGTTGCGCACAACGTCCTGATGCGCCCAAACTCGCAGCCCACCTGGTACCTTGGAACCGGGCATCTGCGTGCATGATTTGCCAAGGCATGCAATGATATAAGGTATTATAACCATTGTGCAACAAGGCACTGGGGGTCACATTTGCATCCCCTGCTTCTGCGACGGCCGCAGACGCCACTTCTTGAAGAAGTCCGGAGCTGGCTCCCCGGCCCACGTGAAAACCGAGTGTTCTGCTCAACGCGCTTTTCCGCAATGAAAACTCGGCAAAAGATGGTCTTCTGGCAACAGAACCATCACTGCCAGCAGTCGCCTGATTTCTGTCCAGGCTCTTTTTCAAATGAACCAGTCTCTTCAGCAGCGGCATAGGAGCCCAGGCTGGGGTCAGACAGCACGAAAAGGAAAGCCATGATGACGTGTAGGGTGGGCTGCATGGGTGGGCTCGTGTAGGGTGTGGTGGTGCATGGTGATACATAGTGGCATGTTGCATACCAAAGTGCATAGGGTGGTCTTGCATGGTGCATGGTGGTATTGTGCATGGTCGCATTGGGGAGTGAATCATACAAGTAGTATTACAAGGTGACCGATGATCCAGAGGTTGAATGAAAGAGAACGTCATCGCATGACTCAACAAAAACTCTACATGGGGCTGGGTTGGCACCTCGAACATAAGAAGCATGGCCGTGCACACATATGCTCATGGACGACTGATGCCAGACTCAAGGACACGCGCTTCAGGCTTCAAGCCATGCATGACAAGTCGACTACACAAACCGCATCAATGCTTTTGGGGGATGATCGCACTTGATGCTGCCGGCCGGAAGTGACTCAAGGCAGGACTGCAGTACACTGCAAACCCCAGGCACTCCAGCATGCGGCGGCCTCCTGTAAGATGCACAGCACACTAATCATTGATGCAGAACGCCAACTTCAGGGTTTCGGTGTTTCGGACTTAGGACGCAGGATTTTGGAGCTTTGGGTTTAGGATCTACAAACACTTCCGGAACAAGGTAGCAAGAGTATATCTGCGATGGCAGCTAGTCACACAACATAGAGTGCCGCGCATGCTGTTCTCAAAAGATGAACTGCTGGCCGATCCCCGCTCACACTCAGAGCACACTGGTTTTTTCAGAGGCAGAGTGCTGAGCACAGCAACCCTCCAGCCATCAGCAGATCGAAGGAAAGGAAAAGGAGGCTTCCATGGGTCGGATGCAAAATAGCGGTTAATTCGGGAACCTTGATGGTATCAGCAGGCGGTATGAACCCCGAACACCAACACGTCCCAATTAGAATGATTGATGCAACCAAACCACACTATGCTAAACACTACATACATATATAGATGTATATGCCACTCCGAAAACGAGAAACCATGAAAACACATACATACAGACAGGGCTCAGCTAGGACCTACGGTTCGTTATAAGACGATTTACAGGGTTCTAGCTGTTTAGGATTCGACGTATTGTGCTATGTTTCCTACTCAACCGCTACCCACCCACCCACCTATCATACCTAGACCGGCTACAACCATATGCAGAAGCTACCATATATGCGCCTCGGTTTGCATCCGGACCTAAGCCTGTGCTGCAGCCTTTGCAGCCGACTTGGCTTTCTTGGCCGTCTTATTCGCGGGACGTCGCTCCGAAGCGATCCTGAGCCGAACAAGAATCGTGATCTATTTTACGAATAACATCAAGCTTCACATGGATCGACTGTCACACACAATATAAGCTGCACATGCCAACAAAAAAACATCCTATATATATACATCTGAAGCAAGAAGCAGGCCATTCGCCACTCGAAGATGCTTCTTGAAACCCTCCACAAACACGGTAGCCTAGGAGGTGTCGCATGCAGTGTGCCGAGAGGCAAGGGTCAAGGTCTGCACACACACACACACACATACACTGCACATCGTAACCGAAACATCTGCCCAAGTCGCCTCCAGCAGGGCCGATTGCACATCGGCGGCCACTGGCTCTGTCCCCATGAGCTGGAGCTTCTTGCGACAAGCCCCGATGCCTTCGGCACAGTCCTTAATCTTCCCCATCAAAGCCTCCTGGCTCTCGAGGACCTCCAACCTCAGATTTCGGAGCAGATGCAACTTTGCACCGAGAAGGCTTTCCCGCTGAAACATGGTGTTCGCCTGCCTAGGCACTCTGCACACGTTTTCACGGCTTGCCCCTGGGCCGTGTTCGCCGCGGCCACCCACGACTTCACGAAAAGTCCAACGTTCTCTCCACTGCAGATCAACTCCATGTCGGATCCCTGCCCAGGCAGGCTATCTATCGAGCTGGGATATGTGCATGCATGCATGGGACTATCACGTACACACGACGCGTGTGCCTCCGGCTTCGGAACTTTCGCCTTCTTGGGCGGCGGCTGGGGGTCTTCCGTCGTCGTGCCGGGTGGCGCAGGCGCACTGCCTTTTCCCTTTGGAGCCGCCTTGCCGGGGGCCGGCACTGGCGGGTTCACCGAAGAAGTAGCCCCATCAGCAACTGGCAGGGCGCCGTTCATGGAGTCCAGCTGTGCCGCCACGGACGTGGCGAAGTTCGGGCAGACGCCCATGCTGATTGCGATTTCGTCCTCATTGTTTCCAACAGCACCGTGACATGAACTACTATACAACAGCATCCGGATCCGGACATGAGACAGTAGAAAAAGTGCCAAGACGCGATCGTACGAACCGTCAGGGTCCGTCGCTGGCGGCCGTAATATAGAAATGTCTCCATATCAGGATCATTCCGATCGCAACTGGTCCTGACACTTTCTGTTTTCATTAACTATTATGGAGCACACGGTACCCTAACTGAACTGCAAGACATGATCTTCACGCAACCGGTCCCTTTGGGCTCTGCTCTGCGTCTTGCAATGAAGGATAAGGCCTTCTGTTCGTTGCCCTCGTGAAAGGCGAGTATATCACGCCAGCAATAATATTCACCTGTGCATGACCACATCACATAGACCAACTAAGAAACCTTCCAAAAAAAACGACACACATATTCGACAAACTCCCAGAAATATAGCACGGCTATACGTATAATATATATATATATATATATATACATACATATGGATATACATTATCTTCTGTATTTCGTATATGCTATAATATGAGAAAACTTCAATATAGGAATATGCGGATCCACCTTCGTCTTTGCTCTCCTCCTCGCTCTGCCGGCGGAACTGGAGGGCACATTCCAAAGCCGCAGGGTTACCTTTGGGATGACGGGATCGATGAATACATCTTTACACTCTCAGACACACAACGTGTACATTAATAATCTCAGCTACAGAGTACACGAGGCTACGGCGATACCCGTCGTCATATAGTTAGTGCATATACAATAATATAGAAGCCTGGCCACAGCCTGTCAGAACAAACTTCTGGAACATTGCCAAGCGCTGCGGTCCGCCCTGCACCCACACCTTCTTCAACTCCACTGCTCCCGGTGAGTTCTCGCAAAAGCGTTGGAACGAGCGGTACTCAGTCCTGTGGGTGCTTGAGTTGACCACAGGTCCCGTCGGCGGGGCTTTCGTCACAGCGGTCTGCGGTGGCAAAGGCGTCGAAGGAGCAGGTCCTGCTGTCGGCGGGGCTTTCGTCACAGCGGTCAAAGGCGTCGAAGGGCTTGCTGTGCTTGCCGGCGGCAAAGGCGTCGAAGGGCTTGCTGCTGTGCTGGCCGGCAAAGGCGTCGAAAAAGGGCTTGGCGGCAAAGCCGGCTGCGAGTCGATGATCTTCGTCTTGTCAACGGCCTCGACTCCAGCAGCAGCATCAGGGGCTTTTGCAGCAGCCACAATGCTGGCCATGGTCTGCTGAATGGCCGCAAGCCCCGCTGCATCAACACCATGGCTCACCGCCGTGCTGAGAACCGTCGCCAGCATCGTCGTCATGGCATCACTCGTCGGCCCTGCTGCAGCTGCTGTCGTCTGCTGCTGAAGCGGCACAGTCGGCAACGGCATCGGCTGGGGTACTGCCGGCGGCCCCTTCGGCACAGGTTGGCTGATGTCGGAGTCGACGGAATCCGCATCACTGGTCAACGACAGCGAGCTGCTCGAGCGGTACCGCGACCAGAAGTTGCCATACATCGCCTTCTCCTGCAAGGTCAGCTCCGGCAGCGCATACTCATCCTGTTGAATGAGAAATACAAAGAAAAATCATGCCAAATTATTATAGATCGCAGAAAATCACAATTAGCTGCTTTGCATAAGGCTTGACATATCACGAACCATCACTGCTCTACGTGGTGAATGTCCTTCACAGCAGCAGCCTTCGGCTTCGTCCTTGCCGCACTTTTCGCTTTCGCCGTCACGGGAGTCGGCGACGGCGACGGTGCCTTCACCAGCAGTGCTGCTGACGTGTCCGGTGCAACCAAGTCCTGCGAGACAGATCGCATTTCGGTCGGCACCAGAAAACACACACAGAAAGAAAATGTCACACTGCATGCATTATATTATGTGTCCCATACGACGGTGATACATCCTACACGTCGTGTGTGGTCTAGGGTTTAAGGGTTAGGGTTTAGGGTTTAGGGTGTATACATAGACCGGCCACGGACTCAGGTTTTGCGAATATTCCAGACAACATTAACAACGGAACCTGCCTGGGAGACTCGAGCCACCTTTGATGTGTCATCAAAGGAAGCAGCCGAAGCCAGTGTTGACACAGCGCTGCGATTCAGCCGGGGCGGGGGTTCGGGCGTGTCATTCACACTGATTGGCTCCTCCTGATCCATCTGCGTTTCAAGCTCTTGCACCATCTCCAAAATGGAGGGAGTTCCAGGCTGCTGCAGGAGCGTCCTTGCTGGCGGAAGGTTCTGCGGAACTGCACACGGAGCTGTCACCTGCTGCTGCGGTCCACTTGCCGGAAAGTTCTGCGGCGGATCTGCACTAGGAGCTGCCACCTGCTGCTGCGGTCCACTTGCCGGAAAGTTCTGCGGCGGATCTGCACTAGGAGCTGCCACCTGCTGCGGGGGGCCACTTGCCGGAAGGTTCTGCGGGGGCACTGCACTTGGAGCTGGCACCTGCTGCTGAGGGGGGCCACTTGCCGGAAGGTTCTGCTGCGGGGGAACTGCACTTGGAGCTGCCGTCTGCTGCGGGGGGCCACTTGCCGGAAGGTTCTGCTGCCAGGGAACTGCACTTGCAGCTGCCACCTGCTGCGCACCTGCTGGAAGGTTCTGCTGCGGAACTGCACCTGGAGCTGTCATCACCTGCTGCTGTGGTACACTTGCCAGGAGAAGGTTCTGCTGCGGAACTGCACAAGGAGCTGCCACCTGCTGCGGTCCACTTGCCGGAAGGTTCTGCTGCGGAACTGCACTTGGAGCTGTCACCTGCTGTGGCGGAAGGTTCTGCTGGGGAACTGCGCACGGAGCTGCCGCCTGCTGCGGTCCACCTGCTGCTGGCGGAAGGTTCTGCTGGGGAGCTGCACAAGGAGCCGCCATCTGCTGCATTCCACCTGCTGCTGGTGGAAGGTTCTGCTGCGGAGCTGCACAAGGAGTTGCTACCTGCTGCGGTCCACCTGGAAGGTTCTGCGGAACTGCACCCGGAGCCACGTGCTGCG